AATTATTGGATTAAATAGACAAGGCTGCAGATACTGCTCGGTGATTTCTCATACACTTATTAAACTTACTTGAATCAATCACAGATATAAACTTAAAATTCTTGTTTTTTCTTCTGTAATATGACACTAAAGTGTTTGATTTTGGAATGTTAATAAATTGTAAGAGTATCTAGGGGCTGTTATTAGAGGTAGGGAATGATAGAATGATTGTTGATGTTGGAATGAACTGACGTCGCCGGGAACAGAAGATTTCCTGAGTGTAAGAAAATGTCTGGATATTGTTCGAATATGCCGTTAGTGGAATGAAAAGAAAGCAGCCTGGTTTTTATATAAGGTGAGTCTTTTTTTAATAATGCATAAATTATACTTTGGTTCTTCTATTTCGTTTAAAAAATGATGAAATGTCCTTGTTCTAGTAGAAAACACAGTTAAACATTTCTTCAGAAGTTTTCTGGATTTCTGCTTTGAGTTATCGTAGTATTAAATTAACTATAATGGTTTAATTAAAGGTATAATAATATTATCATTTCACAACAAAAATATTTCTAAAACTTATATAAACATAAAAAATAAGAGTATTTCATGTTATTAGTGGAGTAATCCCCCTACCCCCATGGAGGGTCCACGCGTCACCATTTCCACTATAGTATTAGCACTGATCGCTATTGACTGTTTTTATTAACTTTCTTGATGAAACCCCCCAGTGGGGGGGCAAGACCTAAATTTGATGTGGGCAAAATAAATTTTTGCGTGGCCCTCTGGTGGCACAGGAAGACGGATTTTATCAGAGCCGTAACTAGACTTGTTGGCGCCTGTAACAAATCACAAATTTTGCGCCTCTCCCAACCTAAATTAAAAAGCTGATGAATTATGTATTTAATTTTAATAAAAACAGCCACAAAAACAAAAAATGTCAAATAATCTAAAAATAAAATAACAAAATATATTCTATGAATAAAAAAAAAATATTTAGTTTTAATCACATAATATTAAATATACAACTTAAAATAGAACTTTTCTAGATTTAGATTCAGCATCTCGCAATTATTGTGTTACAATTTAGGCGTTCATGTAAGTGATACTAATGCAGCTTATATGTGTATGTGGCATGAGGGAGTAGCGTCTCGAGGGCTAACGAAATTTAAGGAAAAGTATAAAATTTAAATTTTTCAATATTTTCGTCGGCAATCAATATATATATATATATATACACGTGCATTTTGTCTTATACGCCTCCAAAATATATGGATGTTGGACGCATACGCCTCAAAAATCGGAGGCGAATGCGGAAAATCGGAGGCCAAAGCGTATCCCCCTGTATAACATGCGCAAACGGTTAGTTACGCTATAAATATGCACTGGACAAATTTTTCTCCGGAGGCATTTTGGGAGTGTACACATGCACAGTTACACAACGTAGTTCATCAAAATTCCACCACGTGGCGCTGCGATCTTACATGCATATACACTAGTACAATCTGCTGTACGATTTGGTCTCCACATAGAAATTGTCATATTATGCCTCCGGAAAACCGGCAACAATGTTTGGAGCCAAATACGTATGTGGAGAATATCAAGCAAAGATACGCCCGTTTTGATACTGACTGCGCTGTACTGAGTCTTGTTTGAAAAATTACAATATGTTTTATGGATACTCATTTTGAAGTTAATTTCTTTTATATACCTATATTATTGCGTATAAGTAGGTACACCAGATTATATTTTTATGTTGGTTTTTATTTTCGGGATTTAGGGATTTTATCATAAAATATTTTCAAAAGCAAAAACATCTCCGGCATATGTAGTTTTAATGCTACAATGTGTAGAGTGATATATGACTAAAGTATTTTTTTTTATATTAAAAATAAAATAAAAAAAACAATATAGTGTGACAGAAGGGTGACATAAATGTAATCTCAATTAAACAGTCTAGTGCTTTAAACACTTATCTAAACAAAGTTTCCTAAAAAATGGTCTATTTTATAATGAGGAAATAATCACTAAAAACTGGACTTGGATGGATAATAAAACCCAAAAAGGTAATCTAATTATTTATTTTTTTTTTTCATTTTTAACTAACCCAAATTTTAAATAATTAATTTAGAAATCTAACAATAAAAAAATATGGATAGGTTTTTCACTTAATCTAACAATAATTTTCTCTCTGAATCTAAGGAACCGTGGATATTGCAGATAAATTTAATTGTATTTATTTCGTTTTAAAATAAATACACTAAATACAATTAATAGTATATTGTTTCACGAGTGACGAAAATAACATTTTTTGAAGCGAGAGAACAATGTTCGCGAGCTTCAAAAAATGATTTTCGACGAGTAAAACACTATACTTTTTCTACGAACTCTATTATGTCATGTAGGTACCTACTAAAATGAAAAAAAAAAAAAAAAACAAACGTTAGCAAATGCTTTATTTTGTGTTAGGAATAACAAAAAATTAACCAACAATTAAATATTTCAGAAATATTATTTATTATTTAAATATTGATTTATTGTTATATTTGAACAATTGTTCAAAATTATGAGGGTATCACACTCTAGCTTTTTATTTATTGAGGTAGATGCCGACATATTTGTTCTACTGTTAAATGTCATTTCAGATGATGATGATGCGCCATAATCGGATGAACTAGTAGTTTCCTTATTTTGTACAGATTGTAAAATTTTGGTTTGTATTTGGTTTTTACTGTTCGTGGATTCATCAACATATCCTTCCGCAACACTACTAGATTTCCAACCACCGTGTTTTTTTAACAGAAGCAAGTCACCTCCTGCATCCACTAATAGCGTTGCGGATGTTCTGCGGAAACAGTGCCCAGTGTAATCTTGAGGATTCGGAAGCGTTAAAAACTGAGCAATTTCGTTAGGAAATTTACTGATTTTATTAATTCCAACAACCTGTCTGCTACACTTTCCATTCTGATAGTTAATAAAGAATCTTGAATTAATTTGATCCATGTTTGCGGGACGCAGGCTCATATATTTTTTAGAAATATCATAAAAGGGTCCAGAAATATGAAAAAAACGCGGAACTTTTGTTTTTGTATTACAGATTTTAACTAACAGAATACTTCCAGTATCCTTTACATCGCTTATTGTTAAATCTTTTAGTTCGTGGCAACGACAAGCGCCAGATAATCCAAAAACTAATGCTACCTACAAATATTAGTAGTTATGTATTAAATATTTGTTAAAATAAAAATAATAATTCCGTTACCTTTGTTATTAAATATTTATAGTCAGGTACATTCTTTAGGAAAGTCTATATGTCTTTAGGCGAAAAATTTTTGGATTGTTGGCTTTTAAAACCATCAGATTTTCTTTTCAAAAGCGAACGTAACTTTGGATATTTACTAATATCGACATCATTTTTAACAGAGAGTGTAGTTCTTAGCATCGAATAAATGGACCATAACGTCGACGGTTTAAAATTTGAACATATTTCTCCATTAATAATACTCTTCCTAATTCATCCCCTTACGAGTTAATTTTAACCCCAAAATATGAGCTTGTGCGGGGAAAGGGACGGCTATTATTATTATTTGCCGTGGCGCTCCGGGGCGACTTAAAGATGATTGATGATGCCATTTGACTTACAGGTGAGGAAAACCGGAAAACTTCACACACCATCATCGAGACGGTAATGCATGGCGATTTTATAATCTGCATGTCATATCAACAGAAATTAAATTTCTGTTAATACGGCACACATCAAATCCTATACCGAACCATGCAATTTAATTAAAAATCCACATGGTCTGGTCTGGGATTCGAAACCCGGCAGTTTCGGACCATAAACTTGCCTATAAATGAGTATAAGCGCGTTAGACTGCTACACCACCGACCCGATTGCCTTTAGATATTCCCTTTTTAGAACTGAAACAGTACCCAATGAAGCAGTATCTATTGAGATCTAAAAATAGATCGAGTGAATCTATTTTTACCTTTAAAAAATAACTGTCGGAGGCAAGTAAGAGCGTAGCCTTTATATAGATAATATACAAACTACAAACGAGCGAAGGTAAATCCAAGAATCGGTGGTAGTCGAGACTTAAAAATAGATCAAGGTCGTCAAAGCGGTTTCTTGCCATAAATTAGGGAGCGTCAACAGCGGCAACACTGTCGGAGGCAAGTACGAGCGTACCGTTTACATACGATATACAAATGGTGGCAATTAAGACAGTATTTACTCGGAGGCATGTTACATTTAAAAATTTACCGAAAAGCTGTATATAATTTTTTAAGGAATTCGCTTCCCCTCGTATGGCGCCAAGTAAGCTTATCAATTTACGCTTCTAAATATGTGAAATATATACAGAGATACGCACTGTTTATGGTGGAGGCTTGGGTGCCTGTGTGGCATACGGAGGCCGAAAGGATAGCAGTGCACGTGTTATATATATATATATATATAAAATGTGTAGAGTTAAAAGTACGTATATATTTAGTTTATCCTCTAAACATTTACAGAGGTGATACAATAGGTGGTAGAAAATAACCGGAAAAAACCTGTAATAACTAGATAGGAAAGTCATGTTAACACACCAGATTTTTGATAAAAGGAAACATGAAAATACTTTTGATTTCCTTTTGTAATGATTATTTTGTGTTACCATATATACGTGCATTAGACGTACATAGGAACTATAAAAGTAACAAAAACGTCTTAGAGCTGCCGTACGTTGACATGGAGGACTTTTGAAAATATACACTGGCAATCTATGGAAAAGTGCATTCACTTATATTTATTTCATTCTTTGGAGTACTTTGATCACATTCGAGAAAATGGATAATCTTTTTTCAGTTATTTTTGTATAGATGTACTTAATTGTATATTACTGTTTAAAATTTTTATGGAAATTATAACATACCACATGTATGTAAATAAATTAACTTGCGCTTTTATTGTGTTTCTTCCGACAAAAAAAGGTACTAAAGATAAGAGAATTTTTGAATTTGTTAGCAATAAAAATAAATCTGCAATTTTTAAAAAAAGAATTTTATTGTACATTGGACATACAAAAAACATAAATTATAAGAGGTTCAATCACGATTGTAACTAACCATGGTAACATAGTTGTTACTATCAGCATAAAAATTCAAAAGTTCTACAAGAAAAAAAAATCAATCAGCTTATGTTAAATTATAAACAAAACGCTGAACCCTAAATTCAAGTTTCCTGAGTTTCCATACTTTCGTCTCCGTCCGCTTCCATATCCTCATCGTCGTCCTCGCCCTCCTTCTTTTCTGGTGGGTTCTCGTAAGCCTTGTCCAAAGGCGAAACTACGATACCGTCCCACACTGTCAATTCTTGGGCTGTAAAAAGAAGTTTTATAAGTCTTATAAGGGGTGTGTGACTTCACAAATAAATGTGGAATGGAAGTGATGAATGATCTTTACAACACCTATGCTTCATTATGCTCACTATGCATACTCCAAAAGTAAAAGTAGCTGCGAATCTAAAAGTTATGATGGTGTAAAAATTATATTTTTTTGATTAAGTTAAATATTAATTTATATAGGATGGATGCTACATGATTGAAGGAATTACTAATAAAATAGATTTCAAAGGAAGTCGCATTTTACGATATTTATCACTCTAGAGGGCACTAAAATCAAAAGTAACAAGTCATATTGCTAAATACTCCAAAAATTACCTTTTCAATGTGAAGAAAATAGAAAGATGTGCTACTTTGAGTAAAAAAATAAAAATTGTCTTAATCAAGATATTCCATCCGCTTCGTTTTCGGCGCCTCACCCTGTATATTTGAGATATGTAAATAGCATGAGAAAAATAATTAAATATTTCTTACAATATCTGTAAGATTATCGCTCTTAATGGAGAAATTTGTGAATAATAATCCATTTACATACAATGAAAAGCTATTGAACTTACCAATATTAGCATTTCCTTCCAATCCCAGAATATGCTTGTACCCACCGTGCGCCAATACACGAACAACAGATTGCGCCGTCAAACAGCAAATATCTTGCTGTTCAAGAGTCATAGCAGTGTGAATCCTCAAACTAACCCCTTCGCAAGGATCCGTAATACCCGCCGAACCAGGTAAGAAGAGACCAGCAGCTAACAGTTGGAATACCCTTCGGAACGCAACATTCAAAGGTAACGCTTGCCGACTAGGATTGTGCATTATAGCGAAATGAGCCAAGAGGTCTAACATCCAAGGGGTTAGAGGTTCGAAACCTTCGTTTCTACTGCGAACATCTCTTAGAAGACGGATAAGAACTTTGATAGAGGAATGATGTGCATTTTCCTCAAACCACCGACTGTGACGGATTGCCGCAAGGTGGCTCAGCATAATTTTTTGATCTAAATGGATTTCGGGATCCAATTTTCTGATGTTATGGTGAAGTGTGGTAACCATAACTCTCACACATGCGAATGCATTGCTGATTTCAATTCCTCTTTCGTTGGTTGTGTGTTGAAGTTGTTCTCCTTTCTGGACGATTTCATTTTTCATTAAATTTCTCAGGTCATCTCTAACTTTGTTGCCCAGAGCCTCAACAGCTTCTCTGGTTGGGAGGGTCTTAAGAATGACAACAATATCAGCAATGTTGTGGCCAGTGACCATGGTTCCCTTTTTGAAAGAACCTACTTGGCGAACTTCATCTAATTGCTAAAAGAGAAAGTTAATATTTAGAATTAATTAAGGATATTTCTGTAAGTTTAATGAGTTACAGAATTTTAATTTATTGCTCTATATAATCAAGACCTTTAATAATTTTAAAGAGAATATTTTACTATTAAATTGCATAAGTTAGACCTAAAGTGTATCTCATAAATCAAGATCTTAATGTAAAATTGGAAATGGGCATACACTAACAATACCATTTAATTTGCTTTATACACTTGTTAAACGTTCTCTTACAACTTTCAAATCAAAACTAAGTGTAGAATCTTTTATTGGGACTAACCTTATGCCTATGAGAAGTATATATAAAAAGGATAAATTATAGTTATAGAACGATATCACTTTTGCCGATGCGATACATTGGCCGATACCGATATTTACGTGCCGATGTACCGATATATCGTATCGGCAAACATAACGCCTTCTATTTATACACGACCGAAGCAAAAACCGGGGAAGTCCCGTTTTATAATTTCGTTGCGAGGAAACGTTTGTGATTGGTAGTGAGTGACATTTCGGATTTCGGGAGAAGCCTCTTATATTCTATAGTACTTTAAAACATGGCGTCTTAAACTTGACTGTTAATTAGAGTAGATAAAATACATAATAAATCAAAATATTCTATAAAAGCGCAAAAAAAATTATCTTGTCGATACGATACCGATAATCGGCAACAACTGCCGATATATCGATATCAATATCGGTATCGTTCTATTCCTAATAAACTATTTATTATATTTTCACAATAATAATAAGGTAAGAGCACCAGTAATCGACACTAGTAGAACATCTTATGATTTAATGTAATTTTGGATACACCAGTAATGGATACCATTTCGCCAGTTATCACCACCCCAGTTATTGACAGTTTCACCAGTTATTGTCGCCCCAGTTTATTTATGGGCAAGCCCATTTCAATTAAAATATCACAAATATTTATGTTGTAGCACAGACAATCATAATAATAATGAATGTCAGGACCTGGCCCTTTATATGATAGAACACAATATGTGCGTATTGCAGGAGATGTAAGTAATCCTAGGGTAATTAAATACGGAGTTCCCCAAGGAACTGTGTTAGGTCCTATACTTTTCAACATTTACTTAAATGATTTATTTTTCCAAGAAATTAACGGCAATACTGTAAGTTTTGCGGACGATACAGCCATTTTCTATAAAGGAAATAACTGGCAGGAATTAAAAAGCACAATTAATTTTAATAAAAACTTTTTTGTCCCTTTTACATCATATAGCAATTACTTACTGCCTTTTAAAGAAATTAATATTAAAATCGAAAATGAAGCTATTATTATTGTAATATATTGTATTAAAATTATTTGCGCACTGTGTAAATTCGTTTTGTTACTCACCCAGTATGTGAATGGTGAGCTAGGTACAAAAAAGGGTTCTGGTTATGGATTTATGGCATTCCGATATCCATTATCAATGAATAAACATCTTAGCGTAAAATCTCAGTTTTATTTTAATCTAACTAAAGTGTTAACCGAAGTTTTTACAATTATAAAATCTACAAATAACAAAGTATTTGGGAATATATGTTGAGTCACATCTGCGATGGGAAGAACATATTAACTATATTATAAAAAAAGCTAAGATTTGTCTTATATAAAATTAAAAACCTTTCCACTTTCCTTCATGAGAGGTATTTAAAAATTCTTTACTATGCGTTAGTTAAAAGTCATTTGTCATATGGTATAATAGCATGGGGAGTAGCAGGTGCCACTTTAATTAATAACTTGTAGAAAATACAAAAAAGTATATTAAAAACAATATTTCACCGACCTAGAACTAACCCAACAATAGATCTTTATCAGTTATTTGCAAAAATGATTATTACAAAACAACGTAAAGACAAACACACTTTACTATCAGTAAGTCATGACCAGGCAACTCGATATAAATTAAATAATGTAATACCTAAAGCCAAAAAACTATAGGGAAAAAAAGTTATGCTTACCTGGGCCCTAAATTGTATAATGAAATACCTTTAGAATTAAAGAGCATTTATTCTCTAAATCTATTCAAATAAAAAAATGGATATATTCCATCCCTACTGCGAACCTGCAACGTTTTATTTCTACAAATAATGAATATTATGGTCTAGATTACTAGTTTAATAATTTATAATTTGTCTAAAAAATAAAAATAGTTGATAACATGTAAACAATATTAAATTAAACCTAGTTGTATTACCAAAATAATGTTTTTCATATTATTCCAAATATTTTTAAATAATTTTTATTTTCTTTTTATAATATTGTAAATATTGTGTTTTATTAAGACTGTTCATACTAAATAACCAAAAATAACTCACTCTCAAGGATTCTTTTTGTGGGTGTTTCTGTTTATTTACCTCGAATGAATTTACATTATTTCTATATTACTTTTGGTAAATAACTTATTATTATGTAGTATAAGGAAACATTAACCTAAGATTCAATTTGATCGTTTAAATTTAGGATATGTGTGGTGTAAACTAAAGAAAAATAGCTTTCAAACATATTTGCTACTAGTTAACAAGTTTTACTAGTTATCGTCGCCCCATTATTGACATTACAAAGGAAGCATTAAGGAGTTGAACACTGGAGCCCCATAATACCCCAGTAATCAACAAAAGTGTCAAACACTAGAAAATAATTGCATACCTAGTTATCAACACCCCTAACATTTAGGTTTAAATCCAAATAAGCAATGACATTTTACACAAAATTTTATTCACTCATCAACCCATTTTATAACGTATTTACCTTAAAAAAATTATTAAAAAAAAAAAAAAAAATTCAGATGCTCAACACATGTCATTTTTTGCCACTCAACTAAAACAGTGACTTTTGATTATTTTACTGTTTGACAGAGACATTAGACTTTCGTCCTGGCAGAGATTTATGTACAAATCTGAACACATGTCATTAGTAGAGTTTGAAATTTAAAGTGTTGTTTACTGGTGCTCTTACCTTAATAGATCTTTATATAATAGATCTCTGCACTACTCAATTAAGTACCAAATTGCCATCAATTAACAATAATTAAAAGTAATATAAAATTAATGCAAATAATATAAATTAATACAAGAATATAACATTAAAATGGAGAGAACCACAAAAATGTTTCTAAAATAGGCCTCGAATGATTTTATAAAAACATTTCTAATAAAACCATCAACAAGAATGAAACATTGGGTTTTCTTTAAAACTTGATGCAAACCATTCAAGAACTAGTGGAACAGTTAAATTTCAAATTATTCGTCTTGTAGAACCATTAAACTGTCCACTGGTCAACTAGTCCTCTGATATCAATTAATCAAAAATACTTTATTGTTAAAGAAGTAAATCTTACTGACAAAGCTGTAAGACACTTACATCACTTAAAATCACAAAATATATATAACTTTGTGTTTACAGTCATTAAAATAAAAAATATATAAAACTATTTAGGAATAAATAAAGTAAAACACACCCAAATCAGTTAAATTAATTCTTAAAGAACTCTTCAAGAGTGTCATATGCCTTCTCCAATATCAGATACTGAAAATGGCCTAATTAAAAATACTTCTTATATTTAAAGGCAAGTGGTTAAATTTTTTTGCTATTGTGATCTGAAGATAAGCGATACGCCCTCTACTGTGAACTAAAAGTTGTGGAATTTGACACTTAACCGTCTGTATTCTGTCAAGTTTTTTTTTATTGTTTATCAGGTCATGTCAATATTTTAAAATTTAACAAGTATTTTGTTTGAAATATCTTATTTAATAATAAGCTAATGCTTTAAATTTGTATCATATATATTAAAATATTATATTATTTGGAATATAAGTGGGATATCAGTGAAAAACACACTTGTTGTGTGCTTCAATGCAGCCCTAAAAAATGGACACTTCTTTTACATTTCGTCTGCTTCCTAAAGTTGGTAAATATAGGGTAATTTTTATAAAATGCAAGTGGAAATTCTGCAAGAAATGCATGGTTACAAAAGTTGAAAATTGAAAAGCCAGTATCAAAGTATTTAAAAGTTTGTTCCCATGCACAGCATTTTAAAGAACATGATTATTTGCCTAGAGGTAATATAGATTTATTTTTCGATTGAATGTTTTTATTTTATCTTTTTTTGTGTTGCAGATGCCTCATCCAAAGTGAAAATAAATATTAAAAAAAATTGCTGTGCCTTCCTGCCATTTTTACTTTCCTATCTGTATACAGATATAAGGAAAGTATAGGAATCATGATTTTTTTCGACCTCGAGTTTTCGACGGATTTTTACGTTTTGAGGTCCCCTGAATCCGTTTTGACTATTTTCGCGATGATGTCTCTGTGTGTGTGTCGCATAACTCATGAACCGATACACAGAAAAACACCAAATTTTAAACTTAAGCTTTGTTCCAGCGTCCAATCAGCTGATTAGATTTTGGGCAGAGTCGGAACATCTGGGGGGGAGGGTACTTTATAGGTGGTCATTTTTATATTTTATGGAATATATCTGTTATTTACGTTTAGGGAAGAAAATTCTTTAAATAAAAGTTACTTCTTATATTATCTATAATTTTTGTTCTATACAAAATTTTCCTAAAATGGTCCGTATTCGAGAAATTTGACAAAATGTAAAAAAATATTTTTTTTTATAAAAATTGTTCAAACAAAAGTTGTTTGTAATATAATTCTCTATAATTTTTGTCCTATACATAATTTCTCTAAAATTGACCGTATTCGAGATATTTGAGAAAATGAGTAAATTTCGAAATTTGAAGAAAACTCAAAAACGGATAAAGAAAAAAACATTAAATTTTAAACTTAAGTTTTATTTCGGCCTGACGTGAAATGCTTAGATTTGAGACAAAGTCGGAACATCTAGGGGGGTACTTTATGGGAGGCCCTTTTTATATTTTATGGAATATATCTGTTATTAATGTTTGGAGAAAAAAATTGTTCAAATAAAAGTTACTTCTAATATTATTATCTATAATTTTTGTTT